AATCTTTATGACGACACCGAATAGCATATATACGTATCTGTATTTGCAGATGAAGAAATAAAGGCTCAAGAAAGTGAAGAAATCACCCAAGGTCCCAAAGCCAGTGGAAGGCAGAACTGGGATTTGAATCTAAAGTCTGCCTCGGAAAAGGAAAAGGAAATTTGAGCCATTGCCTTCTGAAAACAGGTAGGGTCACGTGATGCTCTGACTGGCCATCCTAAAAGGCTCATTCCTTCCTGGGGGTCACGGGGGAACTCAACCACCACCTGGCACTTCAATCATGTTGCAAACTGCCTGCCTCAAGGCATGTTTGGGGGACCCTGCGGGGCCGAGAAATGCCACCCTGAACTCTGAGACATGCAGGAACACCTCCTCCCCTTTGCCACGTGCCTGCACCCAGGGCCTCCCCAAAAATCAGGGCAGGGAGAGAATGGGGCAGTGTCCAGTTACCTAGAGCACACCCCACTGTGACCCATCTCCAAGGTGCCTACTGCCCAGCATCCAACGGTAGACAGTGAAAGAAGTCGGACGTTCTGCAGTCAGCTTTAGATATTTAGAAGGAGCATGAGTGAAATGGTACAGGACAGCACATAGCAGCTTCGGAGACCCCCACACATGAATTCCTGCCACTTAGGAGCTGCATGCCCTTCAGCAAATCGCCTCACCCTCGGTGCCTCAGTGTCCCCTTCTGTGCAACGGGGATAAATGCATCCACTTCAGTAAGTCACTATGAGGATTCCATGGCAATGCAAGCAAAGACCTTGGACGGTGACCAGCATCCAGGAAAGCACTTGGTACAATATTATAATCAATAAGGAGCCAAATCACGACACTTCTTCCACCCACATCCCCTTCCTTCAGATAAGAAACCGAGTCCCAGGGGCGCCTGAGTGGCTCAGTCGTTAAGCGTCTGCCTTCGGCTCAGGTCATGATCCCGGGGTCCTGGGATCGAGCCCCGCATCGGGCTCCCTGCTCGGTGGGGAGCCTGCTTCTCCCTCTCCCACTCCCCCTGCTTGTGTTCCCTCTCTCACTGTGTCTCTCTCTGTCACATAAATAAATAAAATCTTAAAAAAAAAAAAAAAAGAAAGAAAGAAACTGAGTCCCAGGAAGGGAGAAACAGGTGCAGAAGTAGGAGAAGCAGTAGGAAGAACGAGGGGATCTCCGTGCTTTCCCAGGAGAAGGAAGAAGGGACGGTTACCTATTGACAGAGGAGTGCAGGCCAGCCCTCCCGTGCCGAAGTTAATCGTGGACTTCCTCGGGTGTGCAGTCAGACGACCCTCCACGGGCCGCAGGATGCCTGCTTCGGATCAGCGAGCGTTTAATCACTTGGGACCCCTTGGCGGGATGGCCTCTGCCCATCGCCCTGGCCTCGCCTGCCGCCCTGCCTCCGCGACGCCCCATGGTGATGGTGTTCCAGCTGCCCCTCCCACCCATCGCTCTCAGAGACACCCTGCTGCACTTTCGAGTCCCTGTGCATTTGTGCAAGCTGCTCTCTCTGCTCAGCCTGCCCGCCCCCTGCTACCTGCCACCTGGAAAATTGTCTCTGAAGACCTCAGCTGTGCTCCCACAGCAAAGTTTGCCCACCTGTTACTGGTCATCATAGACTAGTAATAATAGCAACTAACATGTGCAAAGCTCTGATTAATGTCTAAAAGGCCCTGAGCTGAGCATCTGCCCATCATCCCCCAGCAGCGAGGCAGCAGAGTCAGGAGTGAAATCTGGGTCTGCTGGCCCGGGCCACCGGTCCATCCGCCGCTCTACTCTCTACTCCTCTTCTTGTCAGTGAGGCTGTTCTCCCACACTGTCCTTGATCTCAGTTTCCAGGCCGGCCTCTCCCTCGCAGAGGGGGCCCTGAGCTGCTTGATTCATCTTGAAATCCCATCCTAAGTACAAGGTCTAGAATGGGGTAAATATCTAGTGAATGAATCCACAAACCCTGAGAAACGGCAGCCCGGGTGGGGAGAGGCTAACTCACAGACTTCCTGGGGACAGGCCCCGGCTGGTCTCCAGTTCCCAGGAATCAGGCCTCCCCAGCCGAGAGGCTTCCCCAGTCCTGAGAGGGAGAGGCAGAAGAGGCCTGACACCCCCAGACTGGAGGCGGTAGGACCTCTGACAGCCCAGAGCAAAGGAGGAAATGGTGGTGCTGGTGACAATAGTCATTTCCTGCATTCCTGCCCGCACCGGGTGCTGTCCTAAGCACCTTCTATGCCTTACAGTCTCACAGAATCCTCACAACCCCACGACGTAGACATTATTATTGCTGCCATTCTACAGATGAGAAAACCAGGACTCAGAGAGGGTAAATAATTTACCTAGCATCACAGAGCTTTTAAGGATAGAGCTATCATTTGAACTAGACCTGTCTGGTGCCCTTGCTCTTCTTACTTTGTAGCTTTCTGTAGGAGGCAGGCTTGTTTGTTGGAGCTCTCCTTGAGCCCAATCTCTAAGATGTGCTCAGGGAAAGAAGGATGTCCTGGTCTCTGCTGGAAAAATGCCTGTGGGACCCACTATACACCAAATGGTTCAAGTCCTGGGTGCAGGCAGGGTGCAGACTGGGGCAGCTAGTTGGGGGAAGGGGCAAGGTTGGGTGGGGTTCCAGAGGGTCCAAGCACAGCGCATGAATCCAGGAATGTGCCTTCTGCTATCTGCAAAACCAGGCTAGCTGCAACCTCTGTTGGCCAGAGAAAGGTCACTCTGGGGATGGAGCTGGCTTTGAGAAGAACCCGAGGCCCTAGTTTCCAAAGAGTCTGAATGGGCTCTGCAGCAAGGTTCTTGCCTCAGGGGACATCCCACCTTCCTGTGTTAGCATCCTCTTCCCCCATGTCACTCAGGCTCCCAAACAGACTTAACGGCTAGATTAGAATTTAACCTTCACTCCAGCACCAAGTACTGACATTGGCCTTGCCTGCATGTCCTTGCATGCATGCAGAGGAGGTCCAGAGAGCACCAGGATGCAAGGAGCCCCAACACACTAACCAGAGACATGCAGGTGAACGTCCCAGTGAGAGGAGATTGAGAGAGGAATAGGAAGGATGGGCTGGCCTTCCTGAAGGAGACACTCCAGAGGCTGGGACCAGGAGAGGGGTCAGAAAGGTTTCAGGGTGAGGGACACTGTTGGGTAGACTCCCAACTGAGGGGAAGGTGCAGAGTTGAACGTCGGAGTCCCTGGGTGACATCTTGCCTCCAACATCCTGGTGGCAGGTGGGAGGGAAGGGGTGGGCGCTGAGGGATGTGTGTAGGACTGCCCTGTGAGCAGGCAGGGAGCTGAAAGGACCCACCAGGGCCCACAAGCCGCCTGCAGGCTGGAACTTTACCGCTGGAGCTGAGGGAAGATGTGGAAACTCCCCCCGCCCCTGCAGAACCACCCACCAGAACTCCACTTCTGCTCCTGCCTAAAAGAAGAGACACGCCCCGCTCAAAACCATTATGAAAGTCGCCAGTATTTACCTAAGAGCATTCCTCCTGTCCTGCTCCACTGCACCACGCACTTCACACGGGGCCCCTCACCACCTCTGCCCACTGCCTGATCATTAGCCCCATTTCCTAGAGGCAACTGAGGCTACCAGAGGCCAAGTGCCTTGCCCTCCCGCGGAGCGCTAGTCACCGGCTGAGCTAAGGCGCTTTATTACCAGCCTAGGGGGAGGCCTCCCAGATGGAGGGTTTCCCCCCCTCGGTGTCTCACCAGCCGCAGGAAATGGCAGGGCACACAGGAAAGTACCACGGGGGTTCAGGCGGCTAACGACAGGCCCCTTCCCGAGAGAGCCCTGCGGGAAAGGGCGCCTGGCACCTCAGGGCCCTGGGTCCTCCACAGAGGGCGATTCAGAGGCGGCACCTGGTGCCCGCGGCCGCGGGGAGCTGGTGGGCGCTTCTGACAGCGAGAACAGGGGCCCATTATGTGGAAGCCAATCACATGGGCGCGCAAGCAGCTCGGCTTTCGGTTCTGAGGAGCGCTTATGCAGCCACCTCTCTCTCCGCTCCCGAGGTGCCCGGGAGCACCGCGGCCCAGGCTTTTCGCGCGGCCCTCCCGGGAGCACCGGATTCGGAGCTCGCCTAGGCTCAGTCATCCGCTCGGGGCCGGGAGCGGCATCAGCAGCAGCTCCCGCGAAGCCGGGTCCGGACAGAGGGAGGTGGTGGAGGAGGGAGGGAGTCTGCATCAGGGAAGGAGGCGGGAAGCAGGCGCCTCCCCGTCCCTGCTTTCCACTCGGGGAGGTCTGGGCAGCTCAGCCTGGGCGCTCCTGATGACCTTGGGGAGACCCTCTGCGCGACCTCCCCGGGGCGCGCTGCACGGGTTCTGCCCATCCCAGGCGCTCGGGGGCGCTCCTCCGGCCGGAGTCGGGGCGCGGGACTCGGGAGGAGAGGTGCGCTCCTGGCGCGGGGGACCCAGCAGCCCGCGCACGGAGGCCCTTTGGAGAGGCCGGGCGCACCTCTCACGGGGAAGAAGCGCGCGGGGTCTCCCGGGTCCAGCGGGCGCTGTCAGCGGGAGCCGGCGGCGGGGCGGGTCCGCACGCGGGGGTGCCTGCCCTGGGGACCTTTCCCGCCGGGGCAGGAGCGCTCCCTGCGGGGTCCTGGCGCCACCACGCGAGGGGGCGGCACCCCCATGCCGGGCCCCGAGGCTGGGCGCCCGGGCTGTTTGGTGCTGGTTGTGGCTCCCGCTTCCCGGCCTTGCGCCCCCCGGCAGAAGCAGCCGAAATCCCACAGGCTGCCCCAAGATCGGGCCACGGCGGCCCCAGCCAACAGCCTGCCGGTGCGCCCCCCACCCCGGCCTCGTCGTCGGCGCGCCAGACCCGGAGAACGCCCCCCCTCCAGCCCGACTCCCTGGCCTGCGCTCCCGGCACCCGCCGTTCCAGTGCCCCCTCCCCCAATTCCCTCCAGCCGCCGGCCCTTGGCCCACGCGCCCGCACACCCCCAGCCAGACCTTCGGCGGCTGGGACCACCTCCCCGCCGCGATCCTCATCCCCGCCGGGTCCAGCAGGCAGGGGCGGTGCCGCCGGGGAACTCACCCGCTCTCCCTCGCCCGGCCCCGAGCGGCTCCGGCCCTGGCTCCGTCAGTCCGTCCCCGAGCCGCAGCTGCCCGTGCGGCGACAGAAGCGGGCTGAGCCCGGCCGCCAGCCTCCGCGCCGCCCCTCGGCTCCGCCCCGTAGGCGGGGCCTGAGCTCGCGGGAAGTGGGTGGGCACGCTCGCCCGGCTCCTCTGCCTGGCGAGGGAGCTCGCCCAAGGGTGCCGGCGCCCCAGGGCGGTGCGGCCCCCTCCTTTGAGCAGCGGGCAATCGAAGGCGATGGGACACGGCCAGTCTTCCCGATGGGCTTCCCCCCTCCTCACGCCCCCTCCTCACTACCACCAAACGCGGAAAGGGGGAAGCCCACGACTGTGTTCTTGCTCCCATTCAACGGAAGGGCGTCATGAAGCCCAGAGGGGAGCAGTAACCTGCCCGAGGTCACCCAGAATTAGTACCAGTGCCAGAAAGTCAGGTCTCCTACCTTGAGGGCCTGCACAGCCTGAATCTGAAGGCTTCCTTGGACGTTAAGGAGCCCAACTAGGCCTTGCCCTGGGGACGTGTTAGCCGGGGCAGGTTCCCCAGCTGAGAAGAGGGGCGGGGAGATCAGTGGGAGTTTGGGGGCTGTGGCCTGCGAAGTGGCCTCCTATCATTTCCTCTTTCTGAGAAGAAAGGAGGTGAGGCTCAGGAGGAAGGAAGTGGTCGTACCTCCGCTGACAACTGTCACTGCTTGAGGTGTGCAGGACCCAGACAGGGGCTGCTCTCCAGAGATGTAATGGCGAAAATGAAAAGCAAAACACGCCGAGGTGCCTTCTATCCTCCAGTTCAAGCCTCTTTCTGGGGCTCAAGGCCCCAGCCCTCTGAGCACCATCTTTTTTTTTTTTTTTTTAAACAAGATAATGGATTTAACTATTTTTAAGTTGCTCTAGAGAGGGCCCTACTCCCCTCCCCACCCCCCAAAAAGAGAAGAGAAAGTTAACAAAGGGAAAAACCCATACCAAAACATTCTCTAGAATCCACACTCCCTGAACACTGGCTTTAGAACAATAGAATTCTCTTCTCCACAAAGGGCCTTGTTTCCTGAGCTTTCTCAGCCTCAGCTTCGAGCCCTAGGCAGCCCAGGGTCAGCCAGTGGGGGTGCAGACAAGGTTTAAGTTTGGGGAGTTTTGGGGTGCTGCACAGTTATTTCAAGTCCCAGCAGTCTGGTTTAAAGAATTCCTCTGGGTCATCACACACTTGCAATGTTCTTTTGAGGTGGACAGTGTAACCTGAGTTTAGTGATTTCCTGTTTGCTAAGGAAACTCAGTAAACTTTCTTGGGGAAGTGAAAACCTCAGGGCTGGCCTTGTTCCAGGCCCTCAGGCCCCCCCAGGCCTCCCCCGAAAGCCCCCTCCCTCATTCATCCCCTGGGCTCCCTGTAAGTTCATTAATAATCCAGTTGTGAATGACACTGTTTCAGAAAGAGCAATTAGGGAGCAGAGCAGGTAGGGAAGACATAAAGTGATGTTTAAAATAACCCAAGGGGATCATTGTTCTCTGCAGAATGTTTCCGTTGATTTGTCATGAGGAGCTGTGGGCTGAGAGGGCGGGAATCCATCTCTCCAAGGCAGGTGTCAAACTTGGAGCCTGTGTTCCTGACATGAAGCCTTGAGGATGGGCCCCAAACCCCATGCTCTACTGTTCATTCACAGCTCTCACCATGTTTGATACCAAAAGTTCAAGTGCACTCAGAATAAGGTGGAGGACTCATGCTTCCTGATTTCAAAACTTACTGCACAGCTACAGTGATCAAGACAGTGTAGTATGGATACAAGGATAGACATATTGATCAATGGAATAAAACTGAGAGTCCAGATATAAACCCTTACACTTACAACCAACTGATTTTTAACAAGAGTGAGAACACAATTTAATGAGGAAAAAAATAGTCTTTTCGACTAATGGTGCTGGGACAAACAGATTTCCATCTGCAAAAGAAGGAGGACAGACCCCTACCTCACACCATATACAGAAATGAACTCAAAACAGACCAGACTGACATGTAAGAGCTAAAACTGTGAAACACTCATAAGAAAACATTAGCATGAATTGTGACCATGGATTAAGTAATGGCTTCTTACATATGGCACCTAAAGCACAAGCAACACAGAAAAAAAATAGGTAAGTCAGACTTGATAAAACAAACAAACAAACAAAAAAAACTTCTGTGTTACAAAAGTTGGGACACCACCAAGAAAGTGAAAAGATAACTGTTATGGGCAGAATTGTGTCCCCCCCCCAAATTTCACATGTGGAAGTCCCAACCCCCAGTATCTCAGAATGTAACTGTATTAGGTAATAAGGTCTCTAAAGAGGTGATTAAATTAAACTGAGGCCCAGGGACACCTGGGTGGCTCAGACGGTTAAGCGTCTGCCTTCGGCTCAGGTCATGATCTCCAGGTCCTGGGATCGAGCCCCGCATCGGGCTCCCTGCTCAGCGGCGAGTCGGCTTCTCCCTCCTCCTCTGCCCCTCCCCACTGCTCCTGCTTTCTCTCTTACTCTGTATCTCTATCTCAAATGAAAAAAAAAAATTCTTTCAAAAAAATCGTAAAAAAATAAAAAATAAAAATAAACTGAGGCCCATAATGTGGGGCCTGAATCCAGTACGACTAGTGTCCTTTAAAGAGGAGGAAAAGACATCAGGGACGTATCCATAGAGCGATGACCTCATGAAGACACATGGAGGAGATGGCTATCTACAGGCCAAGGAGGGAAACCTTGGAAGGAACCATATCTCCAGACACCTTGATCTTGGACCTCTAGCCTCTAGAACTGTGAGAAAGAAATTTCTGTGGTTTAAGTCACCCAGAATGTGCTATTTTGTTACAGCAGCCCTAGCAAACTAATACAATAACCCACAAGATGGGAGGAAATTCTTGCAAATAGTATATCTGATAAGGTCTTGTATCTAAAATATATAAGGAACTCTTACAACTCAGTAATAAAAAGGTAGATAAATCAATTAAAAATTTGACAAAGAATCTGAATAGATATTTCTCCGAAGAAGATATATAAGTGGCCAGTAAGTACATGAGGACATACACAGTATCATCAGCCATAGAGGAAATGCAGATCAAAGCCACAATGAGGCACAATTTCAAACTTAATAGGATGGCTATAATCAAAAAGACAGGCAATAACAAGTGTTGGCAAGGATGTGAAGAAATGAGAAAGCTCATACATCGCTGGTGGAAATGTAAAATGGTGTAGTTGCTTTCAAAAACAGTCTGCCAGTTCCTCACAATGTTCAACGCAGAGTTACCAGATGGTCCAGAAATTCCACTGGTAGGTCCACACCCGAGAGAAATAGAAGCATACATGCACCCAAACCTGTACACGAACCTTCATGGTAGCACTCTTCATACTAGCCCCAGAGTGGAAATAACCCAAATGTCCATCAAATGATGAATGGGTGAATAAAATGCAGTATATCCATACCACGCAGTATTATTTGGGCATCAAAAGGAATGGAGTTCTGACACATGCCACAGCATGGATAAACCTTGAAAACATTGTGCCACGTGAAAGAAACCAGACACAAGACCACACACTGCGTGATTCCGTTGCTGTGAAATGTTCAGAAGAGGCAAATCTCTAGAGACAGATAGTAGATCAGCGGTTGTCTGGAGTTGGTCATTTCCCCTTCCAGAGGGTCAGTTTCCTGGTCTGCGAAGCGGAGCATGAATGATAAAGGACACTAGATTTTTTGGCAGGGTGATGAAAAGGTTTTAAAACTGATGAGGTGCTTGGTTGCCCAACCATGAATATACCAGAATCCACTGGATTGTACACTTTAAATGGGTGAATTGTATGATATATGAATTGTATCGCAGTGACGTTTTCCCCCAAAGAAGCTAACTGGTCCTTTGAAATCAACACTGACCGTGTCCTCCAAGCCTCTGTCCCCAGGCAGGAAAGGCCTGCCCTTTATTTTGAGTTCAGCTACAGTCTGTGAGACATTAGGGTACAGTCCAAGGCCAAGGAGCATTCTAACAGACCACTGGAAATGTCTGAGGACCCAAGAATAAATGGATTGGCCCCAATACATAAAATCTGAAACGTGAGTATTTATAAATATAGAATTAAATATCTACAATAACTTTTGTTTAACTGGTCAAGTGCAGCTCAAGTGAACTCATTGTTATATATACATGACACGGAAGGTAGAATTGGGGTGCATTATAGGTTTGCTCTGATGTAAAGCTAGGACTCCAGAAGAAGAAAGGCCCAGAGACTCCTGAGTCTATGGGAAAATGAGCTAATCCAGCTCAAAGGGATTCATTTTCAAGGTTATCTGAGCCACTGGTTCTTAACGCCAGCCAGTGGGCAGGTGTTGGGCCAGCTACATTCATTCATTTAGCAGATACCGAGTCCGATGCCTGGCCCCCGGTGAGCCTTGCTAGGTGGCTGGTGAAGGTGTTGGCGGCGGGCCAGGCCCAACCAAGAGACGTGCAGCAAGTGCAGCATGGACTCAGGGGAAAACGAGCCAGAGTGGTAGAAAGGCACGCTGGCTACGGGTCCTGGCTCCACCGTGAACTTGCTGGGCGGTCATTTCCCCTTCCAGAAGGTCAGTTTCCTGGTCTGCGAAACTCCTTTTGTACAAGACTTGCATGTATTTGTGTGTGTATTTTTTCCCACGTCCTCGTGCTTTTGAGGGAAGTGACCTTTCTTTGACCTCTTCCCAAAGAGCACAGTCAGAAATGTTTGCACATGGTGGGAGCCCCATAGAGGTGCCGAGGGAGCACCAGATGTTTTCAGCTAGCAGGTGAGCTCAGTCCTGCAACACTGGGAGTTTCAGGGTCACTAGGAGAGCGGAGAGATGGGTTTTCATTTTTATATTCAGTTTACAGAGAACCCTCGGAACCCAGTAAGTGGCTGTCAACCTTGGCAGGATGTTGGAATCACGGAGGGAGCTTTGGGAAAGGTTGATGGCCAGGCTCTACCCCAGGCCATTTGAATCAGATTCTGGAGGTGGGGCTCCTACCTCTAGACACACACATATACACACGGATCACAAAAACTCCCCAGGTGAGTTGAAAATGCAATGTGCAGCCAGGCTAAGGATGGCTACCTAAGTCTA